GTTAACGAGTCAAACTTTGCAAGTACAATTAGAATAGAGACTAGATTAACCTTATAATGATAGAGATGTCATGTATAATTGGGTTAATATAGTATCACATAATATATTAGCACAATATGTTAAAAAATAAAAAATAAAAAATCGAGGGGGCTTAATTCAATGATCACTCTAGAAGTCTTGCTTCAGTGGTAGCATATGAATTCGATTTTCACCAAAGACATGGGATCATTGGGAGCTGATTGAGCAACTCGCGATTTATCTCCTCCAATCCTTAAGATTAATCTAGGGTAACCAGTAAATCTAGCCTACATAATTTTTTTATTTTTTTTTTAAAAGGAAAAGGGTCAAATAGACCCTTGACCTATAGGCAAAAGAGCAATTAGGCCCTTCAACTTGTTATTTTGAGTCAAATAAATTCAATAACAAATTTTTCACTTGGAATAACGGGTCAAAAAATTCCGACAACGTTTCCAGTGACAAAAAAAAAAAAAAAAAAAAAAAAAAAACTACTGGAGAAGACAAAACGGTTGTCTTCTCCAGTGGAGATGGCGACCAGATCAGGTCGCCTTCTCCATTGGAGAGGACGATCGAACTGGTCGTCCTCTCCAGTGGAGAAGGCGACCAGATCTGGCCGCTTTCTCCACCGGAGAAGACAACCGTTTGTCTTCTCCGATAGTTTATTATTATTATTATTATTATTATTATTATTATTATTATTATTATTATTATCGTCGGATTTTTTCGCCGAAAATGTCACCGTAATTTTTTAACCGGTTATTTCAGGTGAAAAATTTATTATTGTACTTATTTGATTCAAAATAACAAATTGAAGGGTCTAATTGCACATTCTTAAAGTTAAAGGGTCTAATTGTTCTATTGTCTATAGTTCAAGGGTCTATTTGACCTTTTTTCCTAAAAAAAAATAAAAAGTACAAAAAAGCAAAAAGATGCCCAATCCAAAATCTTTGGTATACTTCTCTTAGAACTGGGCTTACAGTCCAGTTAGAATTGCTAAAGCCCAGTTCAATTAAATCTTTTAATGATGGTAGTTGGGAACAGCCTGAAGAAGAAAACAACAAAGGCAAAGCAGTCGAGCCAGATCGCAAACGGCAAACCGCCACTGGTTCACTCATGGCTTCCGCAATCTCAACTCCAACTTCATCTCTCTGGTCCTCCGCGTCTTCTTCTTCTACCTCTCCTCAATCAAGCACCCGCCTCACTCTGTGTACTCTTTCCACCTATTCCATTTCACTCTCCCGGAGTTCAAGAATTCAGCTCCACAAATGGGCACCTCACTTGGGCATCACCCCATTCTCTTCCTGGGAAGGCCTAAAGCAATCCGCCATTTCAAGCCCTCTAATTTCTATAAAAATCGGTACTGTTTCTGATATTTTGATTCTGGGATGTTATGGGCTTTTCCTTTTTGTCTTGCTTCCTTAGTTGTGCCAAAGTTTGTTCTTTTATCGTCGATTCTGAGTATTGGAGTGGTGGTTTTGCAGAAAGAAGAAGAAAGTGCAAAGGGAAAGGTGTTTATGCGTCTCTCTTTGGAGTTGGAGCCCCTGAGGCACTAGTTATTGGAGTGGTTGCTTTGCTGGTGTTTGGTCCCAAGGGTCTTGCTGAGGTCAGTTTCTTTCCTTCTATCACAATATAGTTGAAAATTCTTAGATGTGTTAAACAAAATGAAGGAGTTGTAAATTTGAAGCTTGGTTTACTAAGTGGAATTCATTTCTGAAGTGGTTTGAAGTCATGGAGGATATAGAAATAGAATAGTAGAACACTCAAACCTCGCCATGTCACCCTAGCCAACAAAGTATCAGGAGGTAAACCAACCTAGGTGTCCATAGCTGACCGCCCAAGTAAAGAAAGTCAATAGGCCGCTTTGGCTGAGAGTTGGCAAATTATACCAACGTCCAAAAATAACCTTCAGATTCTGTATCTATAGTTGACATTCTGTATCTACACTTGATAGTTTTCGTACATGTAGCTATCATATTATGTGTCAGCAATTATCAAGTCAGATTCTGTATATATAGTTGACACATTCTATATCTGCAGTTTATAGTTTCTGTACTTGTAGCTATCATATCATGTGTCAGCAATTATCAAGTTATTTGTTTAGAATGTGTTAACTGAAGGTACAGAATTTTTGTATCAGGGTTCACAATGCAATATGAACCCTGGTCCACGGTATAACAATTGCTGAGAGTTGAACTTGTAATCTTGTCATTCTTGTGGTTACTAAGTCAGCTATCTGACCAACTTGGCTGGGGTTGGCCTAGTAGAATACTGATCTACATTTCACAGGAGGGTGAATTGGGTTTAAGCTAGTTATTTACAGCTTCTTAAGTCACATATTGTATCAAATTTTCAATTGGGTTTGCTCAAGTATCTTAGATTTATACATTATATAGGTTGCTCGTAATCTGGGGAAAACGCTACGGGAATTCCAGCCTACGATTAAAGAACTTCAGGTAACTATATATGACTTGTTAGTGAACTTTATTTGGGTTTTAGAACTTCAGCCCGTCCAGATTATAATGTTGATCACATTCTCATGAAGGAAGTCTCGAGGGAATTCAAGAGCACACTTGAAAGGGAAATTGGTCTTGATGACATAAAAGATTTAAATCAAAGCACTTACAGATCCAATAAAACTACAGCAACCACAAGCCCCTCACCGAGTGCAAGCTCTGAGGATTCACTGATTAAGACAGACCCTAGTAAGCGATTATTGTATTGGAAATTGATATCTTTATATGTATAGATGTTTGGGAATCAGGGATTACTCATCTGCAGCTGAATTCTCCTTTATTTCTTGTTCATTAGAAAATTAGCTTTTCTAGACCTCCCAAAGATATCAGGTATGGTAAATATTTTAGCCCAAACATCAAGAAGGAGCCCGTTTGGCGTTGTTTCTTGAGCAAATTTCCAGCAATTCTTTTTACTAGTTTTATGATGTGATGGTCCTTGTGTTGAAAATTGGTATCATTTCAGAAAGGCACCAACAAGTTTGAATTTTTACATTGATGATTTGATGTTTTCACGTTACGCTTTCTTTCTCTAACTTCCTGTATGGAAATCATTTTACTGTTGTTATGCTTGATAATATTAATATAACTTCTACTGGAAGCCTGTTAACTGAGGTTTTGAAGTTTGTCTCTCTTCTTTCGGGACGTCAGTCAATTATATTTTTGTTATGCATTTTCAACGATTCCTCTTGAAATTGCAGATGGTTCTCCATCACCAAGTGTAGAATCAATTGATGATAAGTTGAAAGCTGTAGAAGAACAGTCAACTGAAACGGTGTCTTCGGTCGAAAATAAACCAGAATCACAGACTAAGGCAGAAGGTTGGTTTAATTGACCCATTTTTTTCCTTTCTTTTTCACTAGTTTATGAAAGCTACTGCTATTTTTTTTTAAGCTTAATTGAGTTGAAGATCCTCGAATTTGTGATTTTTTTTTCCTTCTTTTCAACTTACCTTTATATCTTGAATTTTGGCTTAAATACATTGCATTTCATCTTATGCTTAACCAATGTAGTTCCTTGAACATATGTTTCCCTTTCCTAAGCCAATTCTTGTTCACCGTTCTTTATTGTATTGCATGTGCTTGGAGGAATTTAATGGCCTAATTCTTAAACGACAGATGATTCTTCATCCCCAAGAGCATACTCGAGTGAAGAATACTTAAAAATCACCGAAGAGCAGCTTAAAGCAGCTGGTGTGCAAGAGAAAAGTGACACAATATACCCAGAGCTCGAAATCCAGTCTGAACCCCAAAGTCAGTCAGATTCCCTTCAAGAAGCTGCTTCAGTGTCTCCGCTACCCCAGAAGCCTGAAAGCGAGACTTAGTAAAGGTAACTAGTAGCGAACTCTGCTATCAAGTGTGGTAGGACTGTTCTTATTCCCAAATCCCGAGTAGCAAAAGCGCTTACACAGACAAATTTTGCAAATTAGAGACATGGAGAGATTTCAGGACTAGACCCTTTTGCCTAAACTGCAATATACTTGTTTTGCCTTGATTTGTTGAGTGTTGAACTCCCATTCTTAAATTGATGGTTTTTGGGCTCTAACACTCTCTTTTGAGTTACCTGAAAATGGTGGTAATGGCACATTGGTTGCCAATGCAGGATACAAAATATAAAAAATAGTTAGTACCACTAACATGTCAAATTATATCTAAAAGATGAAAGAAATGCATTCATAGATGTTTCCTTACTCCTTTGTCAAGATCAAAGAGGGTGGTGTGGATTACTATATCATCAATGAGGAAAGAGGTGACCATCTAACCATCTTTTAGCCATGAATGCATTGTCAAGATCAACAAAGGGTTGCTTCCCGGGAAGAAGGATGTAGTCTGCAAAGACAGCTCAGTTGATACTTAGTTGGTAGGCTGTAGTCCGGATAAATGATAATATCTGATAGTTGTAGTGTGGGACGAGCAACTTGTGGGCACAAAATTCCAAAAAGTAATGAAAATTTGTAATCAAAATATAAAAGTAGGAAAAAGAAACTATCTTTAATATCTTAATTTGTCTACGAGTATATCAAGCAAGTTATTTTCAAAAAAAAATAAAAATCAAGCAAGTTAAAATTGTGTCACGTGGTATTCCGAGTCTTTACGAAAAAGATCCCCACTTGATTCGAGAAGTACAGGAGCTGATTCAAGAAGATTCGTCACTTTTAAAAATTAAACTCATATTATCTCAAAATTTTACTCATTTACCACTCGAGCTACCTAATTGGGTTAAAATTTTACAGTATTAAACATGGAAAATAAGAATAAAAATAAAAATATCCGTAATGTCAGTTTAGCCCCTAATTTTCGAAATATCTTTTGAATTTAGCGTCGCCCTCCATCGTTGACTCTAATTAGCCGACACAAGACATGTCGTCTCTGACTCGAACTAGGTTTAGGACATTCCAATTCCAAGGGCGTTTAGGTAACTTCGCTACCCCCCTTTAGTAACAAGCCAGCTATAAATACGCGGTGATTCGCTATGACCTTTGTCATTCGCTGGAAGAGATTAGAAGACAGGAAGGATCGAGATTCCATATCATCTTCGCCGGCGGGAATTCGACGACCGACAGAGTTGACTACTACGCAGTCGAGATTACTGAGAATTCATCAGAGCTTACGGATATAATTGTATATAGAGGATACAGTATTCCTCGTTCGAAGAATTTTGAGAGATTTACAAGTATTGACGATAGACCGTGTAATCGCTGAGTTCTGGGGATAAATCGTCCAATCGCTGATTGGTGGCGAGTTTTTAGGGGTCCACGAGAAGAACAGGTATTGAAAACCCTAGTTTATGATTTAGTACGCTTTTTCTTGGTTTTTCTCTAATCAAAGAGGAGAACCGCTTTGTGTGTATGGATTGCCAAGAGAATTGTTTACATCATCTCGGCCTGGGGTACTACCAATTGCGCCATATATGAAGACGTAACGCTGGGATGCCCTGAAATTTATGTGGCTTTATGTTGAGATTGGAACATGAGGCAAATTTTGCTGGGGATACCTATTCTTTAGGGTTTCTCCACTGGGCGAAGCGATTGAAGCTGCTATTTAATTTAAATTTGATTGGAATTCCGCAGAAATTGATTGCTACATATTCCACGACGTGTTGTTATTGGCTTCGTCTTTGATGTTTATGTTTGTCAATGAAGAATTGTCTTTGGTGTTAGGGTTGCGTAGGATCTTCTTGATCTTGGGGTAAATTAAGACTTGGAACGTGGGGAACTGAATTTGATGGGTTCGTTTTTTAGTGATATATCCTCCCAGGACCTTCAGAAGGCAGCATAATATAATTAAACCACAATGAATCAAAATAGGGAATCTATAGGGCTTTCCTTTCCTCTTTGTGATGGTATGATGGATGCCATGACTTCTGGTGAACCATTCTGGAACTCTTGCAGAACTGCTGTATATGTTGTGTCTAGTTTACTTGTAGATAAAGGCCATGGGTCCTTAATATCTGCAAGTTATGTATATCAGGCTCAACTTTACTTGGAGTAAGGAGGCTTGGTGCTTCTGATTGTGGGTGCTATGCTGCTCCTATTTCATGTTGAGTCACTGAAGTTTTATGCAGATGAAATTTTATTGCAAATAAGCATTCATCTGTCTCCTAAGCGGAATTCTATGCAGATGTTGATGCACTGTTGCTTTTATTTGGGAGATATGTTGAGAGCTCTTCTATTCATTGGATATTTTAGTTGCTGGCAGAAATTAAGTTACTTGTTTTTATTGCATTTAGTGCTCCAACTTCATATTGGACCTGCAATTTTGGTGATCCATGTGCTCAGCTTTTTTCCTTTATGTTTGTATGAGTGAATGTGTTAATTTTCATGTAAACTCCATCTACCGAAAAACTACAATGTCAACTAATGGAGTTTGACTGGGTCTCAAATTTGTTAACTCCATCTGCCTTGAGGTAATTGCCCAAGGAGGCATGTCTTGGCAGTGTTATGTTTATAGCTTTTCTGTTTGATGGAAATTTATTTAAAACAGATGTTTTTATGAGTATTCAATTTATGTGACTGTAGTTGTTGATTTTTCTTTTTTCTTTTTTACTGCTTACAGGTCATTTTTGCTGGATCCACGTTTTCCCAGAAGACTTCTATCTGGACAGAATTGGATATTTGCTTTCTGCCACTAAGAATTATCCATCTGTATCTCCCTGCAGACATGGTTAACATCACGGGTCTTGAATCAAATTGTACAATTCCTGGTTTAAGTCTGAAAGTGGTCACCAAAGGAAGGCGATCTAGGAAACCAAACTCCAGAAGCTTGAATAGGGATGCAAATTTGCTGAATAGGAGTCCCAAGAGGGTAGGATACGTTTCATTTTCTGATTCTGACAAGGTATCCTTCTTTATCTCAGTATCTCTTAGATTTGATTGTTCTTTGACTTCTTTCCACAAAAGCTCCTTAATCTAATATTTTTCTTTTGGACACCTATGTTTGTGTTAGTTTGGTGAAGCTATCACTAGGGAAGAGATTTCTGACAAAGTTGAGTGCATACCAATTAAGAAAAGGAGGCATTTGCTTCAGTTGTCATCACCATCTCAGGCACCTTCTGGCTATTGTGAAGAGTCTCCACCTCCTGAATCCCTGCCTACTCGCACACAATCTGAAGAGCTAGTAGGTCAAACGAATTCAGATTCATATTTCACTCAGCAGTCACAAAGTTGTGATGGACTCATTACATTTAAGTCTCCTAATGACTGCAAGGATGAAGTTATGGATGTGAAGTCTACTGAGGTCTCAAATGGGGAATATTACAGTACTGGGGATTTCTCAGGCATTGCACATCTGGCTGCAGCTGCATGTAATGATGTCATTGATTATAATTCTGGTAGTGTGGAGGGAAGCTCTGATAACAAAGCCACCTCATTACAGCAGAATTTTTGTGTATCTACTTCTCCCTTTCCCTTGAAACCAAACTTGTCTGTGAACAATTCTATGGATTCAGCTGAAGGAGACATACTTTCTGACACTAAGGTTGAATGCGCAAGTGCTCTTAAAAAGTCCCCAATTATTTCTCAGGATCTGAGTGAAAGGGCAGAAGATGGGGAATTAATTAAAAGGTCATTCTCTCCAAAAATTGACAGACTGCATTGGGACCTTAATTCTTCCATGGATTCATGGGAGCAGCCTCATGATGATACAGTCAGGAGAAATGTCTTGAATAATGTCATTTGCAATGAAATGCATGAAGAGAAGCTTGAGATAGGGATTCCTAAAGAGCAAAGGGATTCTGATATTTGTCTGGATAATTCAGAGAAGTGTATTCCATTGACCCAAATGCATCCAAGTGTTCTGCCTTCTGTTTTAAAAACAGAAGGAAATAAGGGAGGACCGGTCTCTTCTCTTAATGCAACTTGCAATGAAGAGATTTCTGCTTCTAATTTGGGACATATTGAACCAATGGGCTTATTGTCGGTCGAGAGAGGGATTCCTAGTCATGATGATGAAGGTGCATTCCTCACTGATTCGACATCTGATAAGTGTCATAATGCCTCTACCATTTCCATTTCTGAGAGGAAGTTGACTGCAGCTTCAAGTTCAGGTTGTGCTGCTATCCAGGGTATTGGATCTGATGTATCCAAATGTGGATGTAATGCAGATCTGATCAAGACTTGTGAATTAACAGATGATAAGGCTTACGTGTGCAAAGCAACTGACACAGTTGACTCTAAAATGCTGGACATGGGAACTTCAGAGTGTACATCATCAAAGTGTGTTGATCTGCCTGCCTCAAAATCCACTGAGGGAGAATGCGTGTCCACAACTGGAGAAGTCGATGGGAAAGATGATAGGGTTTCTACTCCTATTACCAATGTAACTGATTCTCACATGCGGTTTGAACCTAAGGGACCACAGAGTGATGACCCTGCTTATCCATCTATGAAGGTTGGGATTGAGTCATCTCCTGAAGATGGACACAATTCAGATATTTCACAGGAGGATCATGTTCAACCCGTTGGCAGTGTGAATGTGTCTGGATTTCAGGCCAGTAGTGACTCTCCATTTGAAGATGGTGAATTACAAGGATCAGTTTTGTATCCGTGGGAGGAAAACGAGGTTGACTTTGAGATGGAATGTGTTGACTATGAATCAGATGGAGATGCTTTGTATTCAGATGATGCTGAAGTAGTTGAAGCTGGCTCTGCTGGTTCACATGGTATAGAGACAAGAAATTCTCCTGCTAGCATACATCAAGAGGAAGATATTAATAAGAGTTGGTCAGGCAAGCAATCCTTGAGAGGTGAATCAGCGGAGATTGATTTTGATGTAAAGAAAGGATCAGATGCAGGTTCTGGTACCACCACAATACATCATCAAGCTGACATGAGGCTTGAAGGGAATATTGGTGCAAGAAACAGGTGGCGTGCTACCAATCATATGAATGCATATGGATTCAAACGGGCATTTAATGAAGAAACTGGCTCAAGTGCAAACGAGGGTAAGTTGCAGTCACACATTGAAATTCCGCGGCATTTGAATGCAACAGATAGGAAGGATGCTGTGCTGTTGCAGAACTGCAGGTAAATGTTCAAAGATTATAGATTGGGATAGTAGGTTGCTTTTTAAAAAAAAAAAAAAATGCAAACTCAGACTTACAATTTATTTGCTGCTATCTTTCAGTCCCCATGGCGAATGGGGTTCATACAGTAAACCTAAAAGAGGTTATAGCTCAGGAAGATATAGGTCTCCTCATTATACAAAGGATGAGAATGTGCTTTGTGGTAATCGAGGCCACTGGGATTCATCCGACCATTATTCATCGACATATCATGGCTCTGAGAGACGGCCCCCCCTAATCAGGCAAAGAAGTTTTACTGCTGCAACTGGCAAGTTTGGTGGAACTGATCCTCATGACTATCAACATGCTATAAATTTTCCGTCCAGTGCTACTCAAAGGTGGTCAAGTATTAGGAGGAGATCATCAGTTGACAGGGATGACTTTGTTGAATTTCCTCGGGGAAGGCTACCTGTGAGGAGAGGAATCATCTCCAACAACCGTGGGGGAAGGGAAGGTTCCAGAAGATACAATCAACAGATTGTTAGAGTGTTCACAGAGGAAGGAAGCTTTTCACCCTTTTCCAGTAGAGCTGGTGATATTTCTTTACCACCCCAAAAGAGATCTCGTTCTCCTCATGCATGGTACCCACAAAGAGAGAGGATTCTGAGAACAAGACCAAACAGATCTCCAGATTCAAGAATGGAGAGAAGTCGAGTTCCTTTCCAAAAGTATCGCCATCCAGAAGGTTTCGTATCTCCTACCAACAACCACCAGGATTCTAGATATCGCAATCCTGTTGACAACCATTTGAGACACAAGAGATCAAATATGGTGGGCAACATTAAAAGGACAAGCCAAAGATTTGATGATCCTGGAACAGTGAAGCCAGATGATTACTTTAGGCCTGAGAGGATAACAACGGGAAGATTCCCTCCAGAAAGGGTATTTAAATTGGAGGAGAGTAGTAATTTCAAGAGACGTGATAGCAGCAGATATGAGATGATGCAAGAAGGTAGACATTTTGATGCCGATGATAACTACAAAGGCAGCATGCAACCCTCAGACCATTGAAGAATTCCATTGTGCTGCTGACCAAAGACTGCTAGGAAAAATGTGTCCTCTTAATATACACAAACTATAGTCGGACTTGCTGTCCATTATATTTTCATATAGTTCTAGAATTAATTTTGCTTATCAATCTATTATTGATTTTGACCCTCAAAGTAACTTTTTTAATTAGCTTTTTGAGAAAAGAGACAGTTAATTTACCAAACATCTTTCTACAATTGGCTAACGTTATCAATTAGTTATACCTTCTAATTAATTCAATCAATTCTGTCATAATAATAAAAAATAAAAAATAAAAAAACTTTGAGGTGTCAATCTGCATTGGAATGATTAAATTATCTCTTTATGGAAACGGAATCAACTGAAATGAAGTCTTCAGAGATTTGTACATGTGATAGAGAGTTATATATTCAATAAAATAAAATTACATCTATTTGCATGTTATATCTTGAAATTCTTTCTTGTCCAGATGGATGGCCAAGATGCAATCCATTTCGCTTGTTTTCCTCTTCTTCATCACAAATATCAACGTCACCTTCCCCTCCAACTTTGACCGGACGTTCAACCTCAACATCCCCGAACTCAGTTCACTCCCAAGCTGCTTAACGTTGGTAACATTCTCCGAGGACAGCCTCACCGCAACCTCAACTTTCTTAGTAGATTTAAGCGCAGCTTTTGAGCCCGGAACAACAGCCTCCCCGACAACAAACTCCCCATAAGAGAATTCAACCTTACTTTCTCGGTACTTGTAAGGACCGAAATTTGAGTTCTTTACGCCGAGTTGAACGTTCAATCTGGCGTCGAATGAAGCGTTTGACGGCGCGGCGACAACGTTCAAGTTGTCGAACGTGGCCGACCGGAGCCGGAACTTTGGAGCCTTGTACTTCATTATGAGGAGTACAAATACTAGGATTACCGCGGTCTGGAAGACGGCGAACGCCGCTCCGAACAACACGCACTTGATGCGCTTCTTCTTGCGGAGCTCTTCCGACGGCATGAGCGCCGCCGACTCAGTGGCCGGCTTTTCACCGTGATGACCGTTGGACGGAGGAGGAAAGGAATGCACTGCATATTCTGCACCGTCCGCCATAGTAGTTACTAAGTTTTGAAGAAAAGAACGTTAACGGAAAATAATCCACTTCTGGTCAATCAAGAGATGCTATGAGATCGAGAATAAAGAATATATATATATATATATATATATATATATATATATATATATATATATATATATATATATGTGTGTGTGTGTGTGTGTGTGTGTGAGAGAGAAAAATATCCAGTTATGATTCAAATATAGTGGAATAAATCAATAAGATTTAGAATGCGAAAAAATTCTTTATTTTTATGAAGAAATGAAAGAAGAAAATAAAAAGCTTACTCCTTTGACGGTAATACTGTTAAGGATATATTTGCGTGTCATAAAATAAAGTAATTTGTATTGCTAAGACTCTGGATGGGTACAAAGATTGTGAGTGTGTCCATCCGGTTGTTGCATGAATTCAGCTTTTATGCCCGCATGAGCAATTCAATTGGTCATAGAGGTGAAAGTTTGGAAGAATAATTAGTGATCGAGTCTTACCAGCGACAGTGTGGAGCAACCTCTCAAAGTGAGGAGCTCCTCGTGCGCAGTAAGCAAATGTTTAGCCTTTGTGGTTCATGTTCAGTTGAGTTACCATGATTTACATCCTCCCAAATACTCTATCGGGCCGGAGTGTAGGGGCCCTTAGGGTTGGGGTTCAACCTTTTGGAAGAATGAATTCAGCTTTTATATTATACATTGGTAACGGTACAACGGTCTTTTAATAATTGTGACGCTCTTCTTCATAAGTGTTCTGGTCCTCTATAACTATTACGGAGTATTTTTTTTATGGGTCGGCGCACCAATAAGTGTGTTAGGCTATGCTTTAAGTGTACCGTTCCTCCTCCTCTCTTTGGCTCTGACCGTTACTAGTTATTTGACCATCTTCATTGCTTTGACGGATTTGATCAAGAGCGCCGAATTAGGTCCGGTGTCTTGTTCAATTATTCTGTCACAATCACATCTACTCCTGAGCTGCGAGAACAACGGAGGCAGTTAGGGAATAATAAAAGTGTTGACTCATTGAATATCCCATCACACCTTAATATTTCTTAGTTAAAATCAAAATGGGACTCTTAATAAATTTTATCAAACATCTATCTATAAGCAATTAAGATAATTTGTTAGTGAAATTACTAAGATAATTTTTCAATCACTAACTGATAATAGTAAAACAAGTTAAGATTATAATACAAAGCATGAGTGACGTCAAATTGTCAACTTCAATTAGAAAGAGTACACTGCTCATATTCAAAGCGCGTAGCGTTGATCTTTAACTACCTAAGCTAGTAGTCATGATGACATTAATGGAATTGATAGAAGTTTATAACCGGTAGTGGAAATTTATAGATACTCCGTAAGGAAAATGAAATTTTTTTCTCCTGAGTTATATACTTATAGCACTTTTTATTTTATTGAATTATTCATGTAAGTGTATTAGCCTCTCAATTATTTTAAAATTAACAATTTCCCTCCTGATATATTAAATTGACATTTCTACCTTTAAACTAAACATTTTATTTATTTTTCTTCTCCAACAAATTATTGCGTATACGTAGGGATGATCGTGGTTCGATTCGAATTGAATCGGTCACTATAGCAATCGAATTAAAAGTTTTCAGTTATGATTTAGATCCAGAACTCAATATTTGGATTTCAGTTTATTAAAATTATGAATCAAAAAAACTGGATCTTGAATCGTGAACAAGCGGTTTCGGATCCGGTTCGCGATTTTAATATACTCTAAATATCGAGTTTCGATTCTAAATTATAATTAGAATATTTCAGTTTGGTTGTTATAGTGTCTGTTTGGTTTGAACCAAATTGTGGTCATAATTTGTTGGAAAAAAAAATATTTATTTTAAGAATAAATATGTCCATTTAACATTTCAGGAGAAAAAATAGCCACTTAAATAATTCAAGAGGAAAAAGTGCTATAAATATTTAAAGAAAAGTGTCATTTTCCCTACTCTATATAATATATTATATTGTCTTGATTCTAGAAATTTGACTTAGTATGTTTTTATTTTTCTAGATCTCAAGAAAATGTGTTAGAAACCAATGGCGTATAAATAAACGCCAAGAATATCAATTTGACTTCTATATTATCAATAGCGTGATGTTTATTTTATTTTATTTTATTAGAAAAAATGTCAAATAAGTCTATAAACTTTACACCAAAGTCAATTAAGCACCTAAATTTTAAAAAAGTGCAATAAACCTTCAAAAATGTCAAATTGAGACAATGAAGTTCAAGAATGGATAAATGACATTATTACAAGTCATTTCAATTCAAACAAAAATCCGGCGAAATTCCGGCAACCGGCGACGGCTGTCACTATCAACCGGAGAAGGCGACCAACTGGCCGCCTTCCCTGGCGGAAGGCAACTTGTCTCCTTCCATTCTCACTAGACTAATTCTGAACTCTCAAAACCCCTGTCCAAGAGCTACTGCCTACTAGAGAAAGTAAATCGTGAATCGTCCCATAAATTCCCAAGTTCACACTCAGCGCACAAGGAGTCTTCATCTCCTTTGATCGGTCAAGGTTTCCGAATGACCCTCACATTCTCAGTCGGATTTGAACCCTTCACTGTCGCTAGACAAGATTTTAAGGTGATCGATCAAATCAATTGAGCTAGTCTCACAACGCACAGGCTATTCTTAACAATGGTGTACTAGAGAATGCATAGGGCCATATCATAATCAATAATCAAACAACAAATTTGATACACAAATTTCAGGAAATGTGTGCAAGGAACAGAAAGTTTGTGCTTGAACCAATGGCAAGTAACGTTATGTTTCTTCTAAGAGTCCTACTGACGTAAAGAACAAAGAAGTGAAGAACCAATGGCTCTGACAACTGACAAGACCAAAATGGTATGCTCTTAAAGCGATCATGGTTCTCCGGCATGTTTGCTAATCAGAATTCAAGGATGGAAGATGAGTATTACTTTTCAGTCTCGAAATCTGCATTTGTATGATATCACCAAGTCAATATCCTAGTGAAACCATCATATGCTCAAAAAGGAACATGGAAATAAGACAACATTTGGCATTGACTATGCTCTTTTCTTCTTCCGGGGGAGGATGTTGTTTCATTGTCAATAACTTCAAAAGATAAACAAAATAGAGAAAAGATAGGTTTTCAATACCTTGATACATCATCCAAGGCCTCTCACATACTGATCAAGTGTACTGTTAAATAGTTCAGATCTACAGAAACAGATGTAATCAAATAGCATCAGTTGATTCCATACTTGCAAAAAGAGTTCATATCTATTATCAAATGTCAAGTACCCCAACAAGAATCTTAAGGCATACCATTCAGAATCATGCATGTTATAACCAATTAACAATAGAGAATTCCACGCTGGCAAAACAGAGTTCAAAGCTAGAAGATGTCAAGAATCCCAACAAGTTTTTTAGGCACAGCTATCTAGAATCATACATGTCAAGTTTTGCTATGCTCAAAATTGCCTTTACTCGTAATTTATTGATGTGAACAGGTTTCTTCATATTGCAGCATGGGGGTGGGTGAAAATGTATTTTCTAAGTACAGTCCTTATTCCATGCAACAAAGTCCACACGGGTGATTTCTTTAAAGGAAAAAGTATTGTTCGTTAATACAACAGATTCTTAAGAAAGTTTAGCTAAGCATCTGAGTATTTTAGAATAGCAACTTATATTAAAGAATTGCCAGTTTATTTGAACATGCTGAGCTTTACGTCACATAGATAAGTAGACAACTCAAACAGCATAGTAGTCTCGAACTATCCATAAATATATGAAGCACTCACTTAATAGGAGTTCCAGGAGAATATAGCGGATTCTTGACAACATATTCAACATACAAGTTGTAAATGTACTTCAAGGAGTCCCTTAGATCACCAGTCCTTGGATGAGTAACTAGGATGATCTGCATAATTTGTACAAGCAACAAATGCTATAAATCCTTTTGGACATTGAACAGAAAATCCTAATAGTCCTAAAGGAAAACAATACTCCGTATATAGGAAACAGAGAAGCCAATCAATGAAAACTATACCTAAGATTAGAAAGTGATAAAATATTGGGAAGTTGAGATAATCAGAAATTCCTCTAAGGCTCTAAGGTGGTTCACCCATCAAAAGCATATATTATATGTAAAAAAGGTAAAAAGGATAACAATGTGTCTTGTATTTTCCATACATTAATTCAACAATCAGGATGCACCTTCAAAACTAAATACTTAAATTAACTTAAGCTGGAGCAACCATCGTTTTTCAATATATATATATATATATATTAATGATCCTACAACTTTAGAATATTGAGAATTCAGGACACTCAAAGAGCTTCATCGGTGACAACAAATTTAACAAAAGTACACAAACCAACCTTTATCCCAGATGGGCTTTCCATGAAACTTAATTTGTATGTATTTGTACGAAAACTATGAAATGAACAACCTTGCCCAGGTAACTGAGGCACTCCAAGATTTCCTTTCTCAATGCTGCCCAGGATAACAACAAAATAATGAGGAAAAAGAAGTACAACAGTCTTAAATCAATTGTTTTATTTTTACAAGAACAACTACTACGTATTAGACTTAGCATTCACTGATTCATTCTCCTCTGAATAAACACAATAACTACTTAGTTATAACATGTGAATGAAATCATCAATCTCCCCAGTATAACATAGCAAACACCTGTTCATTTTTGTACACCTGGAGATGGAAGATGACTCAAATTATTTGCCCCTAAAACTGACTATACAAAAAAACAGACCTTGTAGGATCCATCTTAGCTGTTAAGGATTTGAGAGAGAAGAGGAGACCAAACATGAGCTTATGATCCTGCTGAGCATTGAGAGTCTTAAGGGGGCGATTCCATTCCCTGTAAAGTAGGCACACTCCATTTCTATTGAACACATACAACATGTGGGCATTGTTTCCCGACGCTGTAGGGGGAGGCGGCGACGGGCTGATCTCTGATCCTCCGAAGAACTGCATCCTTCACTGAAACCTAGCCAGATCGACCTCAATCAATACGCCACAACTCTATACCAAACAACAGGGCTTTCAAGAAGCGGAAAGATTCGTGTTCTACACAAATTACTAAGAGCGAACAGAAAGTGAAATGTTCGGATTGAATTAAAATTCATGGATCTTATATATACCTTCAAGGATTTACAAAATTGGTTGCAGTTTATATAGCTGCAGAGCTCAAATGACTCTGCGAGAAAAGAATATAACATCAGGTGTTAATAGAATTGGGAAGAAGACTAGCAGAGAGTTTACCTGAAGACAAGAGCTTGAGCAATTCAGCAATATCGTAGACGGAAAGATGCTCCCAACTGAAAAGGAAATAAATCACAATTTACCCACTTAACTTTTCTTCTTTTTCTTTTTTCTGCCTAAATTTAATTTCGTACATTTTTTTTAATTCTGTGTCCATCCATTTGGATTTTGGGATTTTTGGAATGATAATAGCAGTATGCCATCACAGTATATTTTTTGAATATTATTACACAGTATTTTTCTTTTTTTTTTTTCACTCTTATTACATTGTAGTATCTGTTCAAACCTTCTTTCTCAACCTAACTTAATGAAGCACTCCCTACCAAAAAAAAAAAAAACTTAATGAAGCACAAAGAGTCAACATATTTATATTATGTCGCTTGGTCATAAAATATTTGACTCAAATTTTAGTTTTAAACTTCAATTATTATAACATTGTCATTTAACACGTTTTAATCATATTTTTAAATTTTATATCTATTACATTATTAATTTTTATTTATTTTTCACAAGTAGTTATCCATTAAAATTTTTGTTAATATATCATTTTATCATTACATCCAACTGCATAAAATCTCTATAGTCAATCAAGTATTAACTCTTGAAAAATACCATTTTGACTCACTCACAAAGTTTTAATGTTGAAATTTTCATTGAAACTTACAGGATAAAGATAACTAATATATAACTAATCATCAATTATCTCAAAAAATAAAATTGAAGTAAAACTATTTTTAACTCTTTCTTGTGCAAAGAAAAATTTGCTTGAAGGAAGTGGTGAATAGAGATAGAAAAAGGCAAGTCACATTTTATCCCAAAGTCTACCCTGCCAAAACAACTTTTAAAAGGCTAGTTCAAGATCAACTCACAATACAAGTTAGCATGACTGGAAAACAAATACATTTCACAAAATATAGGCCAATTCCAATTTCCAACCCAACCAAGAAACTAAAAACCAAAAATGAAAATATCATAAACAAGCCAGCTCCTATAAGAATACACTTTAGTACTCCCACTTCTTCAACTCCATGCCATCCGGAGGGCTTCCTTCCACCTTCTTGGATCCCACCTCCTTCCAATTTGTGGACAACACTGTCCCATTTGACTCTACCTGTTATTATAGAATACATGTGTAATTCTCATTAGATAACCAAACACACAATACCAAGTTACAAGAAAACCAAGCATGTCGGGCACGAGTGCCCATTCAAAGCTCGTTTATCCCCCTTCCTATCTGAAAAGGAATGGAGAAACACAGACACTTCAAACACGATTGGAGGAAAAGGAAAGCAATTAAGTTGCCAATACCCGCTAATTGCTAAAGCCAGGATACATAAATGTTGCATTTATATTTGTGGGACATTTAATGTTTGTCTAAAAAATTCCACCCTCAGAAGGGAACTATACAAATAAAAAAGTTCAATGAAAAAAGATATATATTTATTAAAATTGGTATGGCCTTACAAAAGATTTCATCATGGCTCTTCTAGTATCCTCGTCAGCATCCTGGTATATATCTCGGAAAAATTTGTTTAATGCTGCATCACCATCCAATTTTTCGTCTTTCTCCTGAAGTAATCAATGGTTAAATGCAAGTACATACATCTTTGGCCTTTATGGCCCATCAATGTCAAATAGAAATTGGAATACCTACCTCCTTTTTCATCTGAGCTTCTAGTTTATCCCAGTTCTTTCCCTTAGGTTTTGAGGAAGGGTAAGAAGGCCTTTGGGTCACTACAAAAGGCAAAAAGTAGAACATAAGCACCTCACGTGAAAAACTAACAGGCAATATCTTAGTACAGTAATCGAAGAAACCCCTGCGCCATTGCAGAAATGCACTTCCTAAATGAGGCATATACTTTTAGATGATGCAAACTCATAACTTATAAGGGGAACATATAAAAAGAAAAAGAACATGAACCAAAATGTGCAGCAAAAATCATTATTTTTTTAATAAGTAGCAACAGATCTTCAGGTTCCTCCCTCAAGCCACAAGCACAGAGAGAAGATAAATGTAAATTAATTAATTAAAATAGCTGATATTCAAGCTCAGCAATACAAAAAGTATGTTCACAATTGCCCTACTTAGATGAAATATTCCCTAAAAATAGGAATCATACCATTTAACAGAACAAATGTCATTTTGATATATTGAACCTCAAATATTTTATTCTTTTAGAGACCAACTTGGTAATAACAAGAGTCTACAAATTTTGTTGATAAAGTGATAAACAAAACCTACCAGATGGCACAACAGCTGCCTGTCGCACAACAGTTTCCCCCCCACTATACTCTAGAGATGTCCAATGAATAGCCCCAGCTTTTGCAAGGCGGATCTCAATTTTTGTAGACATGACCTCATATCTACACTTTTCGGGAATTATCTGTTTGCAACCACAAGAGAAAGAACAGCATCAGCACCTTTTTAGGCCCTCTGAGGGGCTTCCATTTAAATGTGACACAAAACATACAGTAATTCCATAGAGTTAATAAAATCAGGACTACAGTAGAGAAGTAAATAATGATGTACTATCAACAAAGTATATTAACAGTTGCCTTATGGGGAGGTTCTTAAAATTGAAAATCTAACTACACAATCAGACATCCAACATGAGTACCTAACAGAAATCTTAATGTTATGTTGAAATTATTTAAAAACAACAAAGCAAAACTATGAAACAGTCATATCACCTTGCCAAACAACCGTGACTGGAAAGTATATGCATCTCCATCAGGGGCATCAATTGTAACACTAAGCTGTATTTTTACAGCAAAGAAACAAGAGTTTGAAATTAATATTTCTAATCTCTAGAAGAAGATTGGAAAATTTATAGATCTCAAAGAAATAAACTACAAACATACTATTTGTTCACCAAATTCAATGGTGACATTCTTTGCTGGTATGCCCTTGGCAAATATAGTAACAACCACTTCCTCTGGTTTCTGATAGAATTCATGCCTACAGAAGATTGTTTAATAAAAAGAGAGAGCTATAATATACAGGACAATAGATTCAAAGTTTCTATCAGGCATGAATGAACCAGTAAACATAAGAGAAGCAAAATCTAAAAAACTAGAACTTTAAGCGTACATAAATAACTAAGAAGTAGCCATCAAACTAACTTGGCAATCCATCCTGCAACAACCAAATTCACTATTAACATACTCTTTCCATCCGGAAGTACATAATCCAAAAGGAAGTTGATATATTGGTGAAAATATGAGCATAACTCCTTTTGAGTAGAAAACTCAAATTTTAAGAGAAGATTGTGTCAACAAAATCAACAAGTAATAATCTCACATGCCCATAGCATATGAGTTAAGAGCATAAATTGAATATTGACATCCAAATCAAGTATGAGAACTTGGGGAGCATTTGTTTCACCACTTTTGAGGGGGGAAATGAAATTTAAATGTAATAGTGCTGTTTGTTTTCAAATTCTTTTCAGGGTAAAGAAATTGGATTCAAATGCCTCCAGAATGATATTTCTTATAATTTAATGTTCAACTTATTATTACTTGTGATTTAAAAATAATTACAATTCATTCTTATTCTAGTTTGCTTCCAAAAGTCATACTACTTTTACTAAAAGTCATTCAGATGATTAAATATTAAATTCACATTCCCATGTTTGAACCAAATACCCTCTTTAAAGGAAAATGGAAGAAGAAAAAACCTATATTTTGGCTTCACAGCTGTTTGCCCCTGATAGGATAAATTAAAAGCTGGTTGGGCATCCTGTGGTTTTTCTAATGGCACTGATTCAGGCAGGATTGCTACATCTGGTGTGGTTGCCTCCACTTTAACTTGTTCACCAGCTTCCTCTGAATGAAGAAACCAATAAGATCCATATCTTTGTTAGATAAAAATACAATTAGCAAAATTATGCCAAGCACCTCCCACTAGATAAAAGCAGGCCTTCTGAAAGTGTTGAAAATATACATCCTAAATTCCCAAAAACTATTTTCTTCATGTACTATACAATAAAAAAGGAATTAAATTGAACAAATGAGAAACAAGTACATATGTGCTTTACAGTAACACTTCACCTGCAATGAGTTCATCACATTCTTTAATCAAATCATGGAATTTTGGCTTCAAACTTTCTGGTGCCAAAGGAATCCCTGTCTCCAATGCTGTTTTGGCAGTCTGATATTCTTCAAGTTTCAAGCAGGCCGTGCTGTGATCAGAAGCAAGTTTATAATAAAATCAGTCTACATGAAAACTTGAAGCAACAAAAACACTCACAAACACACACCCTTACAAAAATAAAATAGTTTGCTCCGCTTTTCATTCCAGAATTTGCCACCAGCTACCAACACATGAAAGTGCAGGAGGGCCAGACACAAAGACAACTATCCAGACATATAAGAAAAAAGAACTCACCCTTTACGCAAATAAGCTCTAGCCATTGAGGGATCCAACTCTATTGCCTTGTTTGCATCAGCTACAGCTTCTGCTTACAAAAAATAATAATAAATAAATAAATAAATAAAATACACACACACAATACAAGGGCATTATATTAACCATTAAAGCAGTTGAAATGACACAAAATATCATCAGATGAAACAGATTAGCACAATAAACAATACAACTTCATAGCAGAAACTCAGCTACAGAGCTCTAGAATAAACGAATGAAGACCTAAGGGACAGCCTTTAATTTTCAATTAAGGAAATCATCAAATAGAAACATCATAGTTTCACTAGCACACTAACAAGATCGAACATCAAAAAGTCAGACTATCGTCAATTCCTGCCGTTACTCAATGAGAATATATTTCCTGTCGTATTCCTTACTTATCAGATGCGAGAGAGAAGCTGAAAAAGATACCGGTGAAGTTTTGGAGTTTGATGTTGGCTTGAGCGCGGTCGACGAAGAGCTCGGCGTTGTTAGGGCTCAAATCGATAGCCTGAGAGTAGAGATCAACGGCCAGCTCGAAGTATTCGTCGATGAAGGCATCCTTAGCCTTGCGTTCCAGATCAGACGCCATGGATTTTCCGACGGCACTCGACTACGGCGAACCAGAGAAACAACACAGAACAGAACACTCTAGAACGATAGCAAATTGGACTACTTGC